GGGAGTGCACGAGGGGGCGCGGGGGAGCGGCCGCCCGCTGCAGGCGTGGGAGGGAGAGGGGCCGTGAGAGAGCGTGGAGAGGGGTGTGCGCAAGGTGGACCGGATGTGAGAGTGCGGCTGCCAGGGCCCGCGGGAAGGTGTGTCTCGGAGGTGAGAGGCGAGGGCAGGCTGGGAGACAACAACTTTCGCGGCGAGTTGGCCGCGTCTGGCGCCCTTGCGCGGTCCCGGGCGGAGCGCTCGCTCGGAGACCCGCTCCTCGCCCGGCTCTCTGGGGCGACCGGGCGGCGCGTGTGGTCGAGGGATCGCGGACGGGGGTCGGGACGCCTGGGGCCCGGGACTGTGCACCCTGGAGAAGTTGCCGCCAGCCCTGGGCCTCAGTTTCCCGGCCCGTTGGGGGAGACGGAAGGCCAGAGCGTAGTCACGTCCCCTCCGCCCGCACCCCGTGCGCCCGGAACCCCGCGGCGGGCGGCAGCCTGACGTTGGCAGCTGCTCTCTATTCTGGGAAGTGCCGAGGGCTTCCCGAACGGCCGCTGCGAAGCCAGGTGGCGGGTGGGGAGGCCAGCGGGGAGGGGGCAGGGGCTGCGGCCAGGAGGACGGACGCTTGCTGCTGGATTTCGAGGCCAGGTTCGGTCCCAGAGCAGGGGTGGTGGGAGGCGAGGGTGGCTGGAAGCGGAGGCACTTGGGCTGTGTAGGAGTTCCCCAACCGCTGGGAAGGGCCCGGAGAGGAAAGAGGTCCTTCCAAGCGGAGGAAACAACGTGACCGACGGAAGAGGCAGGGTTGCGTTGATAGCAGCCCGAGCCGAGGGGCTAGGGAAGGAGCCAGAAGGGCTGGAGGCGGTTGGGAGTTCCTGGGCCCGGCTGGAAGTCTGGTGGTTAGAGCCTAGTCCCAGCCAGGAAATAAAATTCTGCAGGGAAGAAGAAAATTGGCAGGATTCAGTAGTGAAGAAAGGGCAGAAGATGATTCCAAGATCTGGACTTGTGGGGGCTTTAGTGGGGGTGATGGCTTGACGAGAGAAATAAGAGTTCTTGGGGACGTTGGGGGGGGTCTCTTGGTGAAAATGGAACAGCTTCAGATCTCTTGGCTGGGTCGTGATGTACTGTCTTTCCTAAGCTTTTCTATTAACCAAGGGGTAGGAGGGAGCACGGCTTGTTTGTTTGTTTTGTTTGTTTGTTTGTCTTTTTAAAAGCATGTTTCCAGGCCCCTTTCTTTGAAGACTGACTGTGAGCCTGGAGTTTGTATTTTCCTTAAGTACTCCCAGGTAATTCTTGTTTGGGACGCCCTGGCAGGTGGAAGGCCTATAGGCTTAGAACTCAGACCTTCCTCCTTTCTGCCCCCAGCTGTGTGGCTTAGAACGTTCCAGCATCTGTGAGCCTAAGTTTCTTCATCAGTAGGAAGGAAGGAAGAAAGAAAGAAAAGAGAAGAGAATAACCAAATCTTGAAGGGCTGTTTTGAAGTCCATATGAAAGATAATTGAGTAGGGTGTTGAGACAGTGGTAACACATTTAATGCTTTTCTTAGGAGCTGATGAGCTTTAAAATATTTTCTTTTGGAGAGGGAGGTCTCCTTAAATAATTCGCTGTCCAGAGGAGAAAGAATGGATACATTTTTACCTAGATATTGCAGTTATTTGAATTCTGTCTTTGCTCTTAAATATTCTCAAATTTCCTCTCTCTAAAAAAGGATTGGATTTTACTGCTCCTGGAGTGGGATAAACTGAGTGTAGATGCTTTCCTACCAAAATGTACCGGAGAATCATAAATGAAAACTGTGTGTATATAAACCTATGCAGACCAAGAGGTAATGATCTTCAGATTATTTACACAGATGCCCCTAATTGGTATTTATTTCCAAAAATTCAAATTTGCATCTTCTAAGAGAAATGAGAGTGGCAGGGGTACTTAATCTTGCTCTTCTCTGAAAGGTTAGTAAAGCTTTTTTGTTGTGTAATATTTTCAGGCATATTAATTCCTTGGTCCTACTGCAAAACCACAAACATTTTAGCGTGGATTCTGTAGTGGGCAGCAAGCATCTAAAGATTCTTAGCCAAGGTGGCTTCTGGTGAACTCTCTCAGCATGTTTCACCTGGTCAGTTTGGAAATTGTTTCTGAGAAGTAACTGTTCACTGCTGTACTTTGTGTCTTCTGTCATGCCAGGATTTTGTAAGGAGGACATGTTTCCACCATCCCTCTGATTTGTAGCACCCACAGTTTCATATCCTAGAATGCAAATTTGCTCTTTCACATGGTAGAGAACAGGACAGCCTCAACTTGGAAAACCAGAAATCCAGAAGTCATTGCCCCTGCCTTTATTTTCTCCTGAGTTCCCCTAACTTATCCCCTCCTAGAGAGTTGAAATGGAGATGAATCTAGACTGAACATAAGCCTAATAAGCCAAGATTTTTATGAATGTTTAACTGAGGTCAAAAATTTGGAGACATTTTTATATTAGGCATATTACTTTCAGGCATATTAACCTTTTCCTCAAGAATGTTGAAGGCAGTACAGATCCTTGTGATTTTTCAGTGATTCCTTTGGGCAAGCTTGCAGTGGGGTAGCTGGGACAAGATTTCCTAATGTCACTCTGCAGGTAGGAGAACTGAGGTCCAGAAAAGTAAAATTTCTTTCTGGTCATACAGAGAGATTGAAACAGGACTGGAAAGCATATTTTAGCTAAACAGAGGCTGTTAAATGTTAAGTCTTCATTTTGGACTTTTTAAAGTTTTTTTTTTTAATGATCTCTTCACCCAACATGGAGCTCGAACTCACAACCCCGAGATCAGGAGTCACATGTTCCACCTGCTGAGCCAGCCAGGCACCCCTTGGACTTTCATGACCAAAATATTTCTGTCTATGGACAGAGCACCTTCTGATAGCATCACTGTGGTCACCTTAACCTTCTGAATCTACAAAAACTCACCAGAAATGTTTTTGCTCAACTAATGATGGTGGTCTGAACGGCCAATGGTGCTAGGTAATGCACGGAGTTGGGTGGGAAAATGAAGCCTGCTTGCCAGAAGGCTGGGGGGAAAGCACTATTTGGAGCCAATTCAGTATTTGGTGGCGTCAGCACCTGCTTGCTCATTGGGAATGATGTAGTGGTAGGGTAAGGTCTTTTAGCAGCTTTTCTTGAATTAGTAGAAGAAAAATTGTTTGACCTTATTTGAGTTAATTCACCTCTCTGAGTTTCAGATTCCTCATTTGTAAGATAGTCTAACCTACTACTTCAACATAAACTCCGGCTTCTCTGTATTTTTCATATTTTTTTCAAATACTGGGCTGTCTCAGCTCTACTTCCTTGCACATCTCCTTTCTCTGGAATGTTTGTTCCCCTGGTAGACTGCCTCCTCCTTTGACTTGACCCCAGAATACACACAGCACTTCATACAGATAAGAAATATCTTGTCTAGTGGTGATCGTTGCATGACGTTGTGAATATACTAAAAGCCATTGAAGTGTGGGTTTTAAATGTGAATTTTTGGTATGTGAATTGTCAATTTTTAAAAATTATATGAGGAAAAAGTCTTCTATATGGTGAATTTCTAGAGAAATGAAATTTTGTTGTTTTTTTTTTTCATCCTTTGACCAGTATCAAACCTTGCACATAATAGAAGTTCAGGTAATATTTATTGTATAAGCAATTTGCTTATACATCCTTTGAGATTTGCTCAAAGGATTAAATGAAGGCATATGAGATTGTACCTATCTTGTGCAATGCTTGCCATGTAGTGGGAGAAAATGTGCACTTTTCTCCCCTCATTGAATCCATTCATTTATTCATGCCATTACACACTGTTAGGCACTGAGAATACAGAAATGGATAAACATTGTCCTATCAAAGCATTTAGGATCAGTGGGGGGTGGGGGGAAAGGGGCAGAGGCAGATATATAAACACTTTATAGAATGGCATTAGAGATGCCATAAAAGACTGTGAGCATAGAGGAAAGATCATCTCATTCAGTCTAGGGTCAGGGAGGGGATCGTCATGGAAGAACTGATATCAGAAATGGGCTTTGAAAGATAAGCAGGGATTTGCTAGGACAGGAGAAGGAGTCTGCATGCTAGGCAGAAGGAATAACAAATGCAAAAGCATAGAGACATAATAAAGCATCTGCTCCACACCTAAAATCAGATTCAAATGTTGACTCAGAAACAACTTTGAGAAAAAGAGAACAGAAAATAATGCCTCCCACCAAAACAACAACAACAAAAACAGTTTCCAGAATTAAAGACCTAGTTCTTCAGATTGAAAGGGTTTAGTGAAAGCACAGCAAAAAGATCAGAGCCGGTCACCTGGCTGGCTCAGTTGGAAGAGCATGCAACTGTTGATCTTGGGGTCCTGAGTTTGACCCCATCCTGGGCATAGAGTTTACTTGGGAAAAAAAGACATTCAAGGATTCAGATGTATCCTCATTTTGGGGGAAGCTACCAGAGAATAAGTGCCAGCGAAACCATGGAAGAAGAAGATACGAGATTTGGGAAATCTGGAATCCAACCCAGGAGATGATGAATAGAAGATCCAGAATGCCACCAATGCAGTTTTCCAAAGAGCAACCAACACAGATTGGAACAAGAGGATAGGTGGCTAAGTAAGAGAGGACCTCAAGGAACGAAAAGATGGAACTTCTGTATGAACACATAGTAATTGTTTCTACTAGGATGCCAAGCATGTTGGAGCATTTGGGGAAAAAATCATAGGTATATGGAAAACTAGGCAGATGGAAAAGGAAATCATTAACTCTAGGAAAAACACATAGTCATAGAAGAAAGGAGCAATGGTCATAGGCTCAACAGTGAAAATATTTGTATAGTCATGATGTAAACACTGGTATATTATCCAAACTGCATAAAGAGAACCTACAAATTAGAAAAAGACAACTGTTAGAAAAATGGGAAAAAACATGAATTAACTAATTCACAGAAAATGAAACAAATGGACAATAAGCTCAACTCGAGAAATTGAGGAAATTAAAACTATTCACAAACATTAACTTGGCAAAAATTATGAAATTCTGAATACAGGGATTGGTGAAGATGTACAGCATCAGAAACTTCCATCCACTGCTAGTAAGAGTGTACGTTGGTATAATTCCTCTGAAGAACAGTTTGTCAATATCTAGTAGGACTGAAGACCTAGGCCCATAGCACTCCCTGGCAATCTCCCATTCTCCTAGATCGCCTTTACATATCTCACCTCTCTCCACATCCTCTACCCTCCAATTGCTCTTCATCCACCCTAGGTCTCAACTGATAACCTTGCTCTCTGTTTCATCAAGAAAATAGAAGCAATGAGAACGCTTCAACAAATTTATCAGCCCACATACCTGCATCTGTGCCCGTAGACACTGCCTTCTCTCCTATTGCTGTGGACAACCATGCATGATCCAAAAAAGGGGAAAGAAACTGATGACTCCAGAGAAAATGAATAAACATGCACACCCTGTGACCTATCAATTTCTCCTCTAAAGAAATTCTATATGTGCACATATATATACGAGGTTCATTTTTGCATGAGTATTAGTGAAGAAATGGAACCCAGATCCGTCATCAAGAAAGTGGATTTTTTAAAATTGCGGTATAGTCATAACTTGAATATTTTACATCAGGTCAAAGAATGTGCATGTTCATTTTTTCTGGAATCCTTAGTTTTTCCCTCTCTTCTGGATGAAATCAATGTAATAGGCTACCTGTATCAATGTTAAATACCAAAATATATCTTGCTGAATGAAAAGTTATATTGTAGGAAGAAGTGTTTGTTATGAACCACTTATAAAGTCTGAAAACATGCAAAACAATTCTATTGCTGATATGAACATATTTATATGGTATAAATGTATGAAAACATGCATAGGAATGACAAACTTCAAATTTGGGATGATTACCTCTAGGAGGGAAAAAAAATGAGTAGATGGCAAGGTATACATGGAATTTCCATTGTGACTGGGTTTTGTTTTCATTTTGAAAGCTGGATGGCAGATAAATGGGTGCTCTTTTTTACCTCTTGAGTAGTAAAAATTTTATTACTCTCTGGCAGGGGATGATTCTTAAACCAGATTAAACATCATAATCACTAGAAAAACTTTAAGCGTACAGATTCTCAAACACCTACCACTAGAACTCCTGAACCCAAAATTTCACAGATGGGGCCCAGGAATCTACATTTTTTGAAAACCAAAAGTTGTTTTAGTTTAAACATATATAAAAACTTGATATGTTTATGTATACACATATGTAAATTTTAAGCATACGTAACATATATATGTAATGTTGGACTTGCAGGAAGGTGGCAAAAATAGTACAGAGATGTCCTGTGTACCGTTTACCCAGATTCCCCAGATGTCAACATTTTATCACATTTGTTTTATCCTCTTCTCTGAAACATTTGAGAGTAAACTGCAGACAGAATGTCCCTTTATGCTTAAATACTTCAGTTTATATCTGCTTTAAAAAAGCAGTCTTTACATAACCCCCTTATAATTGTTAAAAATAAACAGGAAATAAACAATACTATTATCTACAAACCTTATTAAGACTTCACCAATTGTGCCAATCATATTTGCTAGAGCAAAAGAAAATTCCAAATCATTTGTTACATTTCACTCTTTTGTCTATTTCCTTCATCTGGACAGTTCCTTAGTCCTTTGTTTTTCAAGACTTTCACATTACTGATTTTAAAAAAGCTTACTTATTTGTAATGCCCCTCAATTTGGGTTTGTCTGATGTTTCCTCATGGTTAGATTTTAGTTCTAGATTTCCTTGCAGGAATACCACAGAAGTGATTATTGTACGTTGTATCAGTAGGCTTAGGATACTGATCTGTCCCATTACTAACTTTGGTGATAAAATTTTGCTCATTTGCTGACAGTGGTGTGTACCAGGTTTCTCTATTATAAAGTTACTCTGTTATTCCTCATAATTTCAACCACTAGTTTTAGTATCTATTATTGATTCTTGCCTAGACGAATTAGTATTATGGTTGCCAAATGGTGATGCTAATTTCATCATTCCTTTTGTATTAGTTGGCTTTCTACTGAAAGGAAGAGGTTTCCCTTGTCCCCCATTTAATACATCAGTATGGATTCATATTTTATTCAAAGTGTTATAAACTTTTACTGTCGTTAAGTATTCTCAGATTGTCCTGCTTTTAGCTAGTAAGAACCCCTTCAAGCTGACTCGTGTAAACTTCTGACTTTGTTCCCAGTTTGTACTTTCTCTGCCTCAGTCCTATATAATCAGCTATTTACCTGGGGAGCCCTGGTGCTTCTTTAGCAGTGAACAGTATTTAGAAACAAAGATCTGCATGTTGGATATGCTCATTATTTCTGGAATATTGTTGATTCTAGACCCTCTCAACCAAAAAGTCTAAGAGATAGATTATGTAAATATACACACATGCAGATCTATGTATGCCTGTCTATACTGACCAATTTATTGCTATTTTAAAAATCATGTGTTCATACTGATACTTCTGATTCTAGTGAAACACTATAGGGTTCATTCTGTTCTCCCGCTTCATATTTGTAACTCTCAACGATGAGAAAACTGGCTCCCATTATCCACAATATATTTACTTACTTGCTTCATCCTTAAATACATGGAATTGCTAACCAATGCCTTCATGGAAAAAAAAAGTCTATTAACTGATTTCCTGTTATCTAATATTAGTTTAGAATTCTTTTGTGTTTAGTCTGAGAGTATACAGTCCAATTACAGTGTTCAGAAGTTACTTGTGTTTTATTTCCCCCTCCAGCGTAGGTTATTTTATTCATTTGAAATTTGGTTGGTTCATTTGTTTTGCACATTTTAGTTGCCCTCCCCATCATTGTTAATTTTCTTTTTCTTTTTTCCTTTTGTTGCTTTGAGTATATAAAACATTAACATGGTTCCACAACACAGAAGGTATAATTAGATGATTTTCATTATGTCTATTCTACCCAACCCATTCCTACCCAGCCCCTGACAGTAACCAGTCTTTTTTTTTTTTTTAATATTTAAAAAATATTAGTTTCGGGTATACAATATAGTGACTCAATTCTGTATATCATCTGGTGCTCCGCATAACAAGTGCACTCCTTAATCCCCCATCACCTATTTAACCCTTCACCCACCCCTTACTGGTAACCATCAGATCTCTATAGTTAAGAGTCTTGTTTCTTGAGAAGAACCAATCTTAATACCTCTGGATTGTCTTTCCTGTGGCTTTTTAGTGCACAAATGAACATACACATGTATGGTTTTTTTATTCCCTTTTTTTCCCATAAAAAAGATCGCATACTGCAGATACTGGTTTGCACTTTGATTTCTTCACTTAATTTATCCTGGAAGTCACTCCATACGAGTTCATAGAGATCTCTCTCATTCTTTTTTATTTAATACCTGCTTAGTACTTGTATGCCATATATATGTGCATGTCAGTGGTTTCCAGTATTTTTTAATTTTACAAACATTGATGCTATGAATAATAACCTTTACATTTTTGTGTTGTTGGATGTTTATCTTCAAGGTAAATTCTTAGTGGGATTACTAGGTCAAAAAATGATATGCATATGAGTGTTTTAAACATATGTTGTGAAATTCCCCTCTATAAAGGTTATACCAATATACATTCTCATCAGCAGTGTATAAAAGTGCCCATTCCCCTACAGCCTGCCAATAAGGTGTGTGATTATACCTTTTAATTTTTGCCAGTCTAATAGGTGAGAAATGGTATCTCAGTGTGGTTTTAATTTGTATTTCTCTTATTATGAGTGAGAAGGAACTTCTTTTCATATGTTTTAAGAATCACCTTTATTTCCTTTTTGGGGGGCATATTTTCTGTTCATGTCTTTTGTCCATTCTTCTGTTAGGTTTTGATCTATGTTTCTCCTCAATTTTTTTCTTTTCTTTTTTTTATTTAATGTTTATTTTATTTTTGAGAGAAAGAGAGAGAGCCAGTGGGGTAGGGACAGAGAGAGAATCCCAAACAGACTCTGCACTGTCAACACAGAGCCTGATTCAGGGCTCAATCCCACAAACAGGGAGATCATGACCTGAGCTGAAATCAAGAGTCAGATGTTTAACTGAGCCACCCAGGTGCCCCTCTCCTCAATTTTTATGAGTTACTTAAATGTGAGAAATGGCAGCCCTTTATCTGTGATACATGTTGTAAATATTTTCTCCCCGATTCTTTGACTTTGTTGATGGTGTTTTTTCCCATGTACAATTTTTGCTTTTATGGAGTCTATCAATCTTTTCTTTCATTCCATTTGATTTTGAGTTATAGTTAACAGAATTTTCTTCTACACCCAGGTTAAGAGGAATTCACTCGTTTTTTAAAATAAAATTTATTTGGCTTCATTTGTATATTCAGATCCATTTAGAATTTGTTCTTGTGTATGGTATGAGGTATGGATCTAATTTTACCCTTTTTTCCAAATAGCTAACTAGCTATTCCAGTACTATGTATTAAAAAACCCTTTTAGCTGGGTATTCCTTTTAGCTGGGTATTCTTAGATGCCAACTTTATCACATACTAGAGTTTCATAGATACTTGGTTCTTTGTCTGGATTTTCTTTTCTACTGGTCTGTTCATTTGCCCATACCACACTGTTTAGTTAGAAAGGCATTATAGTACGTTTTCATGTCCAGTGTACCTAATCCTCCTTGTGGCTTTTTTTCTTTTGTTTTGTTCTTTTGTTCATTTGTTTTTCTTTTTAAAAGTATTTTCCTGGGGCGCCTGGGTGGCTCAGTCAGTTGAGTGCCCAACTCTGGCTCAGGTCATGATCTCGTGGTTCATGAGTTTGAGCCCCACGTCAGGCCTTGTGCTGACAGCTCTGGAGTCTGGAGCCTGCTTCAGATTCTGTGTCCCCTTCTCTCTCTGCCCCTCCCCTGCTTGCTTGCTCTCTCTCTCAAAAATGAGTAAACATTAAAAAAATTTTTTTAAATAAAATAATGTTTTTAAGTATATTCCTGCTACTTTTGCATGCTTGTTTTTCTTTTTTCTTTTTTTTGTAATTATTCCTTTTTATTTTAAGTAGGCTCCATGCCCAATGTAGGGCTTGAACTCACAACCCTAAGATTAACAGTCACATGCCCAACTGAGCCAGCCAGCCCACCCCTGCATGTTTTTTTCTATTTGAAGTTTAGTACTAGCTTGTCAAGCTCCATAAAAAGTTGGTATTTTTTGAGATTGCATTGCGTTATAAATTAACTTAAGGATAACAGACGTCTTTTTGATGTTGAATCATCCTATCTAAGAACAGAAGCTGTCTTTTCATTAACCAGTCTCATCTAACAAAAGACCTTGCTTTCTAACTGTGTTGGAAAGAGGGAGATGTGGAAGGGTTAAGTGTCATTGACCTCAGTGGGAAATCCATCTAATAGATAGATAATGGCCAAAATTGATAAATCAAGGAAGGATATAAGCAAATTAGTTCCAAATACATAGATAATTACCAAAGGTAAGAGCTATGAGAGTGAGAGTCCTTCCTTTCTCTTTTCCTTCCTTCCTTCCTGCCTTCCTTTCTTCCTTCCTTCCTTCCTTCCTTCCTTCCTTCCTTAGGCTTTTGGTACAAGTGTTAGTTAGGATCCTGGTAAGAAACATGACACTCTCAAGTGATTGAAAGTCTGATAAAGCACTATTTATAAGTGTTGGGTGGGGTTAGGTGGTATAAACAAGGGCTGGTAAAGCTGCCCTGCTCAAGCAGCAACTGGGAGCTTAGCCTCAAGCGTGATGGGAGGGAGGGACAATTTAATGGAATCAAGAGATTTGCAGGAGAGGCAGACTACCTAGTAGAAACCTCAGACTTGGGTAGAACATGGTCACTGCTCACTGCAGCTTGACAAGTTGGAAGCTGAGGGAATAAGTATCATCTTTCTCTTCTCCCACTCCTGCCTGTGCCCCCTAATGGCTGAACCAAAGCAGAAGGCAGAGTGCAAGGGATCCCATTAGTGCCATTTGTAAGAGGCAGCTTCCAGCACACAATAGGGCAAGGAAGTGTGAGGAGTGGATTTGGAGGGGCACATGGAAGCTATCCAAGCAGTGGTATGATGCATTTAAGTATATAGATATACAGCATATAATAAAATGATAAAATAACAATAAAAAACAAAACAACTTTAGTCAATGAATCTATGGTCTCAAGGAACATGAGTCAAGTAATTATAATAAAGGTGGAAAAGTGGTAAATGCCTGAAGAGATTGGGGATAGTCCTAGTGAGGGAATCTGGCAGATTTTCTGGAAGGGAGACAAACATTCAGTCCAAAACAGTCATGTCAGCAGAAACACCAGGAGCCTCTTGTTTTATAATTGGATGTTCATTATTGGTACAGTGGCCTTTCAAACTCAGCATGTAAGTAAACACCCTCTCCCTGCCTACAGGCCATGGAAGTTAGTCTGTAATTCATGGTTTCTTATTTATACTGCATTTGGCCTCCTTGGTATTCTACGCCTTCTCTATGTTCTCTGCGTCCTCCCACTGTACACTGCTCCTTCGAGATAGGGAAACATTGTGGAAAGTGCTGAATTTAAAGTCAATAGACCTAGAGTTGAATTCCCTAACTTCCACTTACTAGCTGTGTGACCTTAATAAAGTTGTGTAGCCTCTCTGAGCCTCAATTCCATTTTGTAAAAGGAGAACAATACCTACCTATGGAACTACTATTTATCAAGTATCTGGCACCAGGCCTGTCACTCAGATGAGGATATTGTGGTCTTACTACACAGACTGTTTTGCTTTCCCTCTTCCTCCTGACGTTCTTGACTTTGAGCACCTTAGCATCACTACAATGGGAGTTTCTCTCCTGGCAACTATTTGAAACAGGAAAAGTTTCTAGACAAAGTTGGAAAGGATTTTAACAGTAACCTAGTCCATCTTCCCAGAGGATGCAGGAGATCCTGTCATAGGCTTTCTGATAGATGATTGTCCCAACTCTGCCCATACGAACTAGAAGCTCACCATGTCCTGGAGCTGCCTGTTACTGGAAGATTGGTTGATTGGAAGAAAGATTTTCCTTGAGTTGGGCTGAAATCAGTTTCCCAGCCAATTATAGACTCAAAGCCATTTAGAGCAAGATCTTCCAGCCCACTGGCTTATGTTATAAAGGAAGAATCCGAGACTTAGGGAGGTGAGGCAAGGCATTGCTCTTTGTGGAGCTACAAAGAACAGCTTCCTCCAGGCCTTTTAGTGTTATCAGTCATCATAGCCTCCAGTTCTTTCAAATACCCCATCCTTCAATTTCCCCCACATGAACGAGGGTCTGTTCTTCACTCTATCACCCACCATTGCATATGCAATTCTGTGATGCCTAGAACTGAACCTGA